TCTTGACCCTGACGCCTGCTGCTGTATATTTGGAGTTTGCGTGTCTCTCTCTCATCATCACAGTGGCTAGGAGATGTTAACTACCTCGCCTGGTCTACAGGAGGTCGTGGGTTCAATCCCGACCCTGACGCCTGCTGTATATTTGGAGTTTGCGTCTCTCTCTCTCTCATCATCATCACGGTGGCTATGATATATTTACTACCTCGCCTGGTCTATAGGAGGTCGTGGGTTCGATCTTGACCCTGATGCCTGCTGCTGTATATTTGGAGTTTGCGTCTCTCTCTCTCATCATCATCACGGTGGCTAGGGGATGTTAACTACCTCGCCTGGTCTACAGGAGGTCGTGTTCTTGCTCTTTCGTACGGTGACCGGGCTTGGCCCATCAACTCAACACGACACGTTCAGAACCCGGTTTCATTACAACTCGGTCGACGTGAGGATATGGGTCTCTGTGTAAGTCTGTGGGTCTTCTATGTAAGTATATGGGTCTCTGTGTGGGTATGTGGGTCTCTGTGTGAGTATGTGGGTCTTCTATATAAGTCTATGGGTCTCTGTGTGAGTCTGTGGGTCTCTGTGTGGGTCAATTGATCTCTACGTGAGTATATGGTTCTCTCTGCGAGTCTAGGAGTCCCTGCGTGAGTCCATCAACTCACTGAGACCCATCAACTCGCTGCACGTGACAGCCCGGTTGTCAAATATCCCCGGGTCCTGAGCGGTGCCGTCTCATCGCCGTCTGTGAACACGGCTGCTGGACATCTGTGAAAAGGAACTTCATGGTCCCTGCGGATTCCTCCTGCAGTGTGAAACAATTCTTCAGATTCTGAAACAATTCCAAACACGGCCGCGCTGTCTAAAGGCAACGCGCTTGTTGGCATCCCCCGCCCCCCCCCCCCACGAAGAGTCCCGGGGGGCCCGGCCACGTGACCCGACCCGCATTAGCGCCGCACTCGGGTGGATTGGGGGGCTGTCGGGGGGTGTGGGGGAGGGGGCGGTTGGAGCGGTGGACCCAGGCAGTCGTTTAGCTTCCTCAGCCGACAGATCCATAAACGATCTCCCGCGTGCCTTGAGACCATCCCTTCCAATCCCCCCCTCCCTCCCCCTTCCCTCCGTTCCCCCTTCCCTCCCCCCTTCTCCCCTCCTACCCTCCCTTCCTCCCCCTTTCCTCCCCCCCTCCCTCCCCCCTTCCCCCTTCCGTCCCCCCTCCCTCCTCCCCTTCCCTCCCTCCCCCTTGCCTCCCCCCTCCTCCCCTCCTCCCCTCCAACCCTTCTTCCCTCCCCATTTCCTCCTCCCCTCCCCCCCCCTTTCCTCCCCCCCCTCCCTCCCCCTTCCCCCTTCCGTTCCCCCCTCCCTCCTCCCCTTGCCTCCCTCCCCCTTCCTCCTACCCTTCCTCCCTCCCCCTTTCCTCCCCCCCTCCCTTCCCCCCCCTTTCCTCCCCCCCTCCCTCCCCCTTCCCCCTTCCGTCCCCCCTCCCTCCTCCCCTTTCCTCCCTCCCCCTTGCCTCCCCCCTTCCCTCCCTCCCTCTCCCCCAACCCTCCCCCCTTCCCTCCCCCCTCCTCCCCTCCTACCCTTCCTCCCTCCCCCTTTCCTCCCCCCCCTCCCTTCCCCCCCTTTCCTCCCTCCCCCTTGCCTCCCCCCTTCCCTCCCTCTCCCCCAACCCTCCCCCCTTCCCTCCCCATTGGCGACGTGGGGCGCGAACCGAGTTCAGCGCGCACGCACACAGACTTCGACCGCCGTCGAAAGCGAACTGTCGATCGTCGGGGCGAGGACCGGTTTCGACACGCGGTGTCTCATCAGCAGACTTTCGGCTGCACCGATGCTATCGAACCGCCCATCCGCAGAGTCGAGGTCGATTTCTCTGCGCGCCTTGCGGGTTCCCAGTTCGACGCGAAACTCGACCGCCATGCACGCAACTCGACATGATCGTAGGCGTCATTGGCTGATAACGCAATAAAGATGTGATGACGTAGCGTAAATATACACAATATAAATATGATGACGTAATGTAAATATACACAAATGTAAATATGATGACGTAGCGTAAATATACACAATATAAATATGATGACGTACGGTAAATATACACAAATGTAAATATGATGACGTAATGTAAATATACACAAATGTAAATATGATGACGTAGCGTAAATATACACAATATAAATATGATGACGTAGCATAAATATACACAATATAAATATGATGACGTAATGTAAATATACACAAATGTAAATATGATGACGTAGCGTAAATATACACAATATAAATATGATGACGTAATGTAAATATACACAAATGTAAATATGATGACGTAGCGTAAATATACACAATATAAATATGATGACGTAATGTAAATATACACAAATGTAAATATGATGACGTAATGTAAATATACATAATGTAAATATGATGACGTAATGTAAATATACACAAATGTAAATATGACGACGTAATGTAAATATACATAATGTAAAGATGATGACGTAATGTAAATATACACAAATGTAAATATGATGACGCAATGTAAATATGCATAATGTAAATATGATGATGTAATGTAAATATACACAAATGTAAATATGATGACGTAATGTAAATATGCATAATGTAAATATGATGACGTAATGTAAATATACACAAATGTAAATATGATGACGTAATGTAAATATACACAAATGTAAATATGATGACGTAATGTAAATATACACAAATGTAAATATGACGACGTAATGTAAATATACATAATGTAAATATGATGACGTAATGTAAATATACACAAATGTAAATATGATGACGTAATGTAAATATGCATAATGTAAATATGATGACGTAATGTAAATATACACAAATGTAAATATGATGACGTAATGTAAATATACACAAATGTAAATATGATGACGTAATGTAAATATACACAAATGTAAATATGACGACGTAATGTAAATATACATAATGTAAATATGATGACGTAATGTAAATATGCATAATGTAAATATGATGACGTAATATAAATATACACAAATGTAAATATGATGACGTAATGTAAATATACACAAATGTAAATATGACGACGTAATGTAAATATACATAATGTAAATACGACGATGTAATGTAAATATGCATAATGTAAATAACGAACGAGATTGAGCAGACACACTCCTTCACATATCCGCCTCTCCACAATTAGAATGTAAGAAAACATATATTTATTCATTTATTTCTCACCGCGACCCATAAAATAAATCTTCGCCCGCCACACTTTGGCTCCAGGATGCGAGAACAATAACCCAGTGGGCGCGACTGAAACAATGCCATTGAATTTCGCGACCGCTGTCAATTCCCGGGACATGATGATGATGGTGAGAAGGGTGTGTGTGTGTAGGTCTCCTCCCTAGGGGCGACTCAGCCCTAAATTAGTACCCGCTGCGATGCGTAAACATCAGCGGTGCTGGGGGAGACAAAAGCGTCGCGTGACGTGCCACCATTCAACAATCGCCACTTGCCCCAGCAGTCACTTGAAACGCTGTACGGCAAGGGGCACCTTCCAATCTTACAGTCAAAGACCGGTTTTGCTATTCATTGTCTCATCAGCAGTCTGGCTCTGCTCCCGTCAATGCTGGCGAGCTTCCAATCTTACAGCCAAGGGCCGGTTTTGCCATTTAGTGTCTCATTAGCAGTCAGGCTCTGGTGTTGGTGGTGATGGTGGTGGTGGTGATGGTGGTGGTGTTGGTGGTGGTGTTGGTGGTGGTAATGGTGGTGGTGGTGTTGGTGGTGGTGGTGTTGGTGGTGGTGATGGTGGTGTTGGTGGTGGTGGTGTTGGTGGTGGTGGTGGTGTTGGTGGTGTTGGTGGTGGTGGTGGTGGTTGTGTTGGTGGTGGTGGTGGTAATGGTGGTGGTGGTGATGGTGTTGGTGGTGGTTGTGGTGGTGATGGTGGTTGTGGTGGTGTTGGAAACTGCTGAGGATCAAGTGGCAAGACAGAATCCCTGACACGGAAGTCCTCAGCAAGGCAAATATCCCCAGCATCTACACCTTGCTTGCGAAGGAACAGCTTAGATGGACTGGCCACGTGACCAGAATGCCATACGCGAGACTTCCAAAACAAGTCTTCTTTGGCGAGCTGAGGAATGGCAAGCGAGCACAAGGTGGCCCCAAAAAGCGCTACAAGGACACCCTCAAAGCTTCCTTGAAGAGCTTTGGATTCGACCTGAAAAGCTGGGAATTCCTAGCACAAGACCGACCTGCCTGGAGAAGAAAAATACAGGACGGTGCAGTCCTCTGTGAGAGTAGGAGACGCTCCTGTGCCATCTTGAAGAGGCAGCAGCGCAAATCTACCAAGGAAGGACGTGTGGCTGCACCTCAGAGCTCTACATCCTCCCTGACCTGTCCAGTGTGCCACAGGGAATTCCGGGCTCGGATTGGCCTCTTCAGCCATCTGCGCACTCATCAAAACCCAACATAATGACAAACCTGCCATGGTCATCATCAACTTTGATGGACGAACAAGAAGGTGGTGTTGGTGGTGATGGTGGTGGTGATGGTGGTGGTGATGGTGGTGGTGATGGTGGTGTTGGTGGTGGTGGTGTTGGTGGTGTTGGTGGTGGTGGTGTTGGTGGTGGTGGTGGTGATGGTGGTGGTGATGGTGGTGTTGGTGGTGTTGGTGGTGGTGTTGGTGGTGGTGGTGTTGGTGGTGATGGTGGTGGTGGTGATGGTGGTGGTGGTGATGGTGGTGTTTGTGGTGTTGGTGGTGGTGGTGGTGTGTGGCCTTTTTACTAACGAGATTTATAGTTGGTGACGTTTCGGGCCATGGGCCAACTTCATAGCGCTTTTGATCGTTTGTGTGTTTGTTTAACCGGCGATGAAAGTTTCGAGGAAGAGAGATCTGTAGACGAGATTGTAGGGGCGCTCATAGTGGGGGTGGCCACAGGGAGGCCACGTGGTTCACAGGAGGCTGTAGCTGGTAGGTTACCAAGTGAATAGCAATGACGGCGTCACGATCGCTTTCAGATAATTGACATTTATTGTACAAAAACAAATAAAAAAATACTGTACGAGACCGTTGAACAGAACCATTGGTCGGACAATATCTAATTTAGCATCCGTAGGAGACACCCCCAATGCAGACCAGCGCACATTCATTCCGAATGAAATGTTATAACTTAGCCGTGGGCAATGCCCTGGAATCCCGACGTTTGATCGTAATACCATTAACAATAACAACAAAGGTGATAATGAAGAAATACTTGGGCGACCAAGCCAGTATTATTCTCATCTATGGCTGAAGAAGCCTCGCTCCGTAGCTTCCATGGCAAGATCCGGCGGTTTTTCGCTGCGACAATCAGCAAGCGCCTCAATCTCATCTCAAAGCGTTGGCGTCAAAGGGCATCACAGAGCCCCCCCCCCCCCGCCATCTTCAAGGCGGAAGCAGCAGTCGCTCATCACCGTTGGCAGTGATGGAAATTCTACATTCCCATGACAAGGACCGGCACATCCGTATCACGGTTTATTTATCGATGAATGTGTCCGCCAAGGTTGAAGTACTGCTGCAGGATATGCTCGTTCCTTACCGACGCAGGGGAAGATGGTGATGTTGGTGGTGATGGTCGTGGTGATGATGATGATATTGGTAATGCTGATTGTGGTAGTTCAGCATGGTTTTAATAATTACGATGGTGGTGGTGGTTGATGTTGATGATAGTGCTGGTGATGATGATGGTATTTAAAATAATGGTGGTGGTGGTGATGATGGTGGTAGTGGTGATGATGATAGTGCTGGTGATGATGATGATGGTGGTGGTGATGATGATGATAAACCTGGTGATGATGGTATTTAAAGAATGTTGGTGGTGATAATAATGATGGCGGTGGTGGTGGTGATGATGGTAATGATAACCTCGGTGATGATGGTATTTAAAATAATGTTGGCAATAAAGATTTAAAATGATGATTACAACGATTGCACCAAAATTTTGAACGCCATGCAAATAGTTACAAAGAAAACGACGGTGGTGATGATGATGATGTGATTATAGCTGTTGATGAAAACGAGAACATACGATGATGATGAAGATGGTGTCGATGGTGTACACAATGACGAGTCACGATCCCCATATCGCGTTGAGTTGACCCTCGCTGGGATGCGAACCTAAACGCTCACGCCTGTGCGCGCGGCGGGAATCTGCCGCCTCCACCGATCGAGTCTCCATCCTCAACTATCGCAACTCCCTCCGCGGACTTCTGTAAACGTGAGCGTGCCCGTGAGCGTGCGCGCCACGCTCGTGATTGTCGCGGACGAGAGAGACGCGCCAGTGGCGCTGACAGCTGCCGCGTGGCGAGATGTTAACTACCTCGCCTGGTACACAGGCGCACGTGGGTTCGATCCCGACGCCTGCTGCTGTATATTTGGAGTTTGCGTGTCTCTTTCTTACGATCATCACCACGGTGGCTAGGAGATGTTGACTACCTCGCCTGGTACACAGGAGCACGTGGGTTTGATCCCGACCCCGATGCCTGCTGCTGTATATTTGCAGTTTGCGATGTCTCTTTCTCCCAGTGGTCGCGTGGATTTTTCTCCGGGTCCTCCGGTTTTCCTCTCCACATTTAGAATCAGCATCATCACGCGTTTAGTGTATTTGGCCGCTATAAATTTCCACATGATGATAAGCCACTTCGTTGTGCTTTCGCTACGTTGTCCCCACCTGAAGAATGATGCTTGTGTTGCGCCCAAAACGTCGTGATTTAATTTAGTTGTTTTCATTTATTTTATTCTATTTATTACCTTCGTGACTTTACTGAAAAAATCTAAGACTATATATTGTTGACTGGTCGCTTCTGAAAAAGAGCTACATAGCTCAGTGGGGCCTCAACTGGTGAAATGAAAACATAAAATAGTAAACACTCACGTCTTGAGACACGCGGTCGCTATACCCAGCGGTGAATGTAAAACAATTATTAAATCACCCACGAATTCAATATTTGTTGATGTCATATAAGTAGACCTGAGGAGACCCCGTTTGCATCCGTTCTAGACCACGGCCAGCGGCACAATCCACTCGCTGGCTGGAAGAAGGCGGTACAGCAAAGTGTGGGCTAATTTCCATCTGTTCCATCTCCAGTGCCCTGGACTCGGCGGGACAGCAAGCAGGAGGCGGTACCTCCGGCGTTCATTAGTGCCATCGATCTGCCCACCACTCGCACCGCCCCATTTAATGCCTTCCGCCAAACGTTCAGTTAGTTACATCCCTGCAGTGCTGTTCGTTGCTGGCTGTTTAACATTTCGGGGGGTCCTTCGGGGAGGCCCTGCGCTCCCGCCCCCCCCCCCCCATCTCACGCGCACGCCACGGCCGCGTCCCCTCGCGGGCCGCCGACTGCGCCGCGGGCGCCGACGGCGGCCCGCTTGTACTCGTCCGTCACGTCCTCCAGGTTCGCCAGCGCCGAGAGGCAGCTGTCGGCCACGCCCGCTGCTGCCGCCCCGTAGCACTGGCTCTGGGCCAACCCCGGGGCCTCCTCCTCCTCGGCCCTCTCTGACAGGTCCCCCACGGACCGCGCCCCTCTCATCGCCACCGCCGCGGGTGGCCGCCGCGACCGCCGGCCGGCCCACCGGCGGCACCCGGAGCCCGCGGCGCCGTGGCCGCGCGCCGGCGCCTCCGGCGACCTCGGCGGCTCCGACAGAGCCGCTCCGTTCGGCAGGACGCTCTCGCTGCTGCGCGCGAAGGGCGCCCGGCGCCCGGCCACATCGCCCTCCGGCGCCATCGCACCGGACCTTGTCGGGAGGCGCCCCCCATTCTTGAGGATGCCCTTCGGCCGGCACGGCCGCCCCCCCTCGTCGGCGACCGACGCGGCGGACGAGAGGTCGGGAACGGACGCCGACGCCGAGGGGGGCGGCGGTGGTCCACGGCCGGCTTCGGACGGCGACGACGACAACCGCTGCGGCGGCGACGCCACGGCCATCGTCGCCGCCATGGCGATGCCACCGCCGCCGTGAAGAGCGCCGAGCGACGCCCAGCGCTCGGGCGACGAGCAGTAGCCGGACTCGCGCTGCGCCGACTGCTTCAGGATGCTCTTGTGCGGCATCGGCCGCTCTGGCCCGGCGGGCGTGGCCGCCGCCGGAGGTTGCCGCAGGGCGCGCGTCCTCTCGGCTGCCCCGGCCTTCTTGATGAAGCTGAACCTGCTGCCGGTCGTCGTCGTGGTGGTGGTGGTGGTGGGAGTTGCGGCGGTGCTGCTGCTGTTGCTGTTGTTGTTGCAGCAAGCGCTGGCTTTGAGGATCCCGGCTGTGTGATCAGATGTGCCGGCGGTGGCGCGGCCGGTGGTGCCGGTGGTGGCGGTGCCGGTGGTGGCGGTGGGATGCGGCCCGCGGTGCTGGTGGGACGTCATGTCGTGCTGCTTGCGCGACTTGTACAGCGTCTTGGGGAAGTCCAACGTCTTGCGCTCTGAGATGAGAGCGTTGAACATCTCCAGCTTCTGTCGCAGAGCTGCGGGGAGAGAGAGGGAGGGAGGGAGAGTCCAGTCGCTCACCCGCTTGCTCGCTCGCTCGCCAACTCATTTTGCTCACACACTCACTCGCCCGCTCACTCACTCACACACTCGCCTGTTCATTCATTCGCTTGCTCGCCTGCTCATTCACTCACTCACACACTCGCTCCATCACTCACTCAAGCACTCGCCTGTCCACTCACTCACTTGCTCGCCCGCTCACTCACTCACTCACTCCCACACTCGCCCCCTCACTCACTCAAACACTTGCCCGCCAACTGACCCGCCCGCTCACCTCCGTTGAACCTACGTGAAGCAGGCAGAACAGGGGCAGCAGGAGCAGCAGGAGCAGCAGCAGGAGCCGGCTCCGCTCTCCGGGGGGCCGTCTCCGCGGCCCTCGCCGCCGCCTCGCGGGGGCCCCTTGCCTGCGTGGGCCCCCCGGGGGGCCCCAGGCAGCCGCAGGCGCATCGGCGGTAGCCCCAGTTCACCCAGCGGTGGTGCGCGGCCGCCTGCGACGAGGCACGCTGCTCGGGGCTCGCGACCAGCAGTCGCGAGATGAGCTCGCTCACCTCTACGGCGGGGTGGGGGGGGAACAGGTTACAGGTGTGAGGGCGTGGGGTTAGGGGTAGACTGATGGGGGTGGAGTGAGGGCGAGGGGTGGACGCTGCTAAGGGTGGAGCGAGGGTGGAGGCCACTCACCAGAGGGCCGTGCGGGCTGCTGGTAGCGCGCCGCTGAGATCTGCTGTATGAGGGCGCCCGGCTGGTGGCCGTCGAAGGGCATCGCCCCGTAGACGATGGCGTAGAGCAGCACGCCCAGCGCCCAGCTGTCCACCTGCACCACGCACCACCGCCGTGAGGGTGGCGGCCAGAGTCGTGGTGAGGGTCGTGGTCAAGGTCGTGGTGAGGGTCGTGGCCAGGGTCGTGGTGAGGGTCGTGGTCAAGGTCATGGCCAGGATCGTGGTCAGGGTCGTGGTGAGGGTCGTGGCCAGGGTCGTGGTCAGGGTCATGGTCAGGGTCGTGGTGAAGGTCGTGGTCAAGGTCGTGGTCAAGGTCATGGCCAGGGTCGCGGTCAGGGTCGTGGTCAGGGTCGTGGTCAGGGTCGTGGCCAGGGTCATGGCCAGGGTCGTGGCCAGGGTCGTGGTCAGGGTCGTGGTCAGGGTCGTGGTCAGGGTCTTGGCTAGGTGTGGTAACCACCTGTTGCACTAGGCTAGGTGGGTGAGCGAGTTACTGAGTTACTGAGTGACTTGGAAAATTAATGAATGGATGAGTGAGTATATTGGGGGGGGGGGGGGTGTAGTGGCGGGATGAGTGGAGGGATGGTGGGGGGGGGGCTGTGGGAGGGGGGGCTGTACCTCAGGACCCCGGTAGGGCCGTCCGTTGATGATTTCGGGCGATGCGTAGAGAGGACTTCCACAAAAGGTGCTCAGGTAGCGGTCGGGCGCGTACAGGTTGGACAATCCAAAGTCGGCAATCTGAAATGGACGGGTAATCGTAATCATGATTACTTGTTCATAAACATCATTCATTATCATTCATTATTCAAGAGCTTAATTAATTATTCAACCTCGCTGCTGATTTCGTCCTCACAGCAGCAGCAACGGATTTTGGCCGGCCATCGAACAAAGACGGCCACCGCATCGCGCGCTTTCAGATGCACTTCTGCGGCCGTCTGGAACGCTCTTCTGTTCCTAAATTAGGAAGCCGCTGGAGCTGCGCGCTTTTAAATAATCATCGAGATTGATTAACTCATTTCTTTAGCACTGCTTTTTTGTGGTTAGTTTGTTTCCAAAACCACACCTCCAATTAACGCGGTTGGCTACGTACGGTGCGAAAGAAGTTCTACCGACATACGCGCATAATGATCCGGTCCTTGCCCATGAACGTCTGGCAGTTCACCAGCAATGGATCAAGCAAAGCGTGACTCTGCCGATGATGACGCACGGAATGTCGAAACCGGTGCAGAGGTTTGTGTTCAGCCATCGGCAATACTGCTGCTGGGATGAACCCCTATAGTGGCTGTCGGGACGCGTGCCAGCTGGAGCAAGCGAGCGAGCAGTGCCCAGTGAAGTGAGAGCCGCCCTCGCCCCTCTGCACCTTGATGTTGCAGCTCTCGTCCAGGAGGATGTTCTCCAGCTTCAGGTCTCTGTGCACGACGCCGCTCTGCCGAGACAACAACGAGAGGATGGACCGGGATTCAGGGGACCTCCGCAGCTTCCGAACAGCTGACGGTCTGAGACTGTCAGGGTCTGCTGTGTAGGTCTGTGGGTCTCGGTGTGAGTCTAGCCGTACAAACTCCGCTACTTCCGCTTCGCTCACAGTGGAAGCTACGATCCCGTGACGCCACTCTAGACGGGAAGGCCATTGTGTGTAGTCGGTATCACGGGTCAAATGTTCACAGGGACAGCTGCCACCGGGGGTGCCCTAGGCGAGACCACGCAGCAGCGAATCATCGCCGCGCTCCCCTACTGGCAGACTGATGCCAGGCTCAGAGCGCCAGGTGCCGAGTCCACCTGGTGCCGCGCAGTGACAGCTGCCGCCGGGGGTGCCCTACGCTAGACCACGCGGCAATGTGGAGATGCGGGGTTCGCCGCGACCATCTCGTCTCTGGCCGTAAGTCTGAAAGGGAAATGCACGGCCGCAGGTTTACGTTGAAACAATAAAGACGAATACAACGGAGAAACGCGTTGGGGGTGGTGTTGCCTCTGCTGCTGCTGCGTATGCAGTGGTGTACAAGCACACCCAACAACAACAACAACAACTCATCAACACGCTACGTGTCAACAACAACAGCACCAAGCGTGCACGTGTGTGCGTGTGTGCGTGTGCTATGTCATCTCGGTCATCTCGGTCAGTCGACCCGTGGCAACTGGGTCTGCCCCGTGACCTCCTGCCAGCGGGCGTTCGACACTTCACGTGGCCTCAAGGTGCACATGGCCTGGCACAAGCGTCGTGGTGACGTCACCGCCACTTAGTGGCGAATGGCGGTCGTTGTTGTTGTTGTGTGAGAGTGTGTGTGTGTGAGAGTGTGTGAGTGTGTGAGAATGTGTGTGTGAGAGTGTGTGTGTGTGTGTGAGAGTGTGTGTGTGAGAGAGTGTGTGAGAGTGTGTGTGAGTGTGGCGAATGGCGGTTGTTGTTGTTGTGCTATGAAGAGGAGCGGTAGTGCAGTGGTTAGCGCTACGCTGCGCTACGAACCCGGTGTTACCCGAGTTCGATTCCCGCTAACAGTCAACACCAGTGACGATTATCTGCACCGGTCCTGAGACTCACCTAGGTCGACTCAGCCTCAAATGAGTACCTTGTGCATAGTGTAAACATCGCCACTGGGGAGACAAAGGTGGCCGGGCGTGGTGTTGGCCACCCACCCCCTCGTGTGCTCACTAACAGCACTTTCCCCAACAGTCTGTTAAGGCTATACGTGGGTTATTTGTCTTTTTGGGTGGGTGAGTGGGTGAATGAATGTGCGGGTGAGTGGGTGGGTGAGTGAGTGAGAGGGTCGGGGGTGAATGAGTGAGTGAATGAGTGGGTGAGTGAGTGGGTGGGTGAGTGAGTGGTTCGGGGGTGAATGAGTTGGTGGGTGGATGAGTGAGTGAATGAGTGGGTGAGTGAGCGGGTGGGTGAGTTTGCGGGGGTGAGTGGACGGATGGGTGAGTGGTTGGGTGGTTGGATTGAGCTGACACGATAATAACAATCGTCGTTTTACGTGTTCGAGGGTTTCACAATAAAAAAAACACTGCCCAAATCGTTGCGACGGTGCCCAACCCAATGAAGGCTGGCTTTCTGAGTCCCAACTCAACGTTTTTAAGAGGGCCCTGCATTCCTCCATTGGGCTGATTCCATTAACCGAGTGTTTTTTAACAATTGCGGTGAGGAGTCTGGTATTTAGGGTGATTATTAAAATGTAAAGCTCATGTTACGTAAACAAATGTTAAAGGCAGACTGTGGGGGTATTTTTAGAGCATGAGAAATAAAACAACCACAAGTGATTAAACAGCGTTCTCGAGTGCAGTGAGTTGGTGGTCACCAGTGACTCACACAGAGACCCATAGACACACACAGAGATCCATAGACACACACAGAGACCCACACAGATACACACAGACCCAAAGACGTACACACCCACAAACTCACCTTGAGACCCATAGACACACACAGAGACCCACACACATACACACAGACCCATAGACACACACAGAGACTCACATAATCACATAGAGACCCACACACTTACACATAGACCCATATAGACTTACACACCCACAGACTCAACTAGAGACTCATAGACACACACAGAGACCCACATACTCACATAAAGACCCACACACTTACACACATAGACCCATAGACTTACACACCCATAGACTCACACAGAGACCCACATAATCACATAGAGACCCACACACTTACACACATAAACCCATAGACTTACACACCCATAGACTCAACTGGAGACCCATAGACACACACAGAGACCCACATATTCACATAGAGACCCACACACACACAAAGACCCATAGACTTACACACCCATAGACTCACACAGAGACTTACAGAATCAAATAGAGACTCATAGACACACACAGAGACCCACAGAATCACACAGAGACCCACATACATACACACAGACCCATAGACACACACACAGATCCACAAAATCACTTAGAGACCCACACACTTACACACATAGACCCACAGTCTTACACACCCATAGACTCGCATAGAGACCCACAGAATCACATAGAGACCCATAGACACACACAGAGACCCACGGAATCACATAGAGACACACACACTTACACATAGACCCATATAGACTTACACACCCACAGACTCAACTAGAGACTCATAGACACACACAGAGATCCACAGAATCACATAGAGACCCACACACTTACACACATAGACCCATAGACTTACACACCCATAGACTAACACAGAGACTTACAGAATCACATAGAGACCCATAGACACACACAGAGACCCACATAATCACATAGAGACCCACACACTTACACACATAGACCCATAGACTTACACACCCATAGACTCAACTGGAGACCCATAGACACACACAGAGACCAACATAATCACATAGAGACCCACACACTTACACACATAGACCCATAGACTTACACACCCATAGACTCACACAGAGACTTACAGAATCACATAGAGACTCATAGACACACACAGAGACCCACATAATCACATAGAGACCCACACACTTACACATAGACCCATAGACTTACACACCCACAGACTCAACTAGAGATCCTTGGACTTACACAGAGACCCATAGACTCGTATAGACTGAGCTGTGGGTAAACTGGGTTCTCAAGCGTAGTGAGTTGTGCAGCGGTTAGCGCGCTGTGAACCCGGCGGCCCGAGTTGGATTCCCGCTCAAGGCCAACACCCAGTGACGAGTATCTGAATCGGTACTGGGACTCCCCTAGGTCGATTCAGGTCTCGAGTGAGTACCCGGTGCGATGTGTAAACATCACCACTGGGGGATCCAAAGGCGGCCGGGCGTGGTGCTGGCCACCCACCCCCTCCGTGTGTCTTGCCGGGCTTCATTAGCTGCTGCTCGCCCCCTGAGCTAGTGACGAATCTTTCAGAAGCGACCTGGCCACAAATGACAGCTCAACGAAGCGGCTTTCATCACGGGGAAACGTGAAGCAGCAAAATAATCTCGGTGCACGGTTGGCTACGTATGGTGCGAAAGAAGTTAAAAATACGTACAGACGTACAGACGTACCTATGTACATGCGTACATACGTACAGACGTACATGCGTACATGAGTAGATACGTACAGACGTGCATACGCACATGCGTACTTACGTACAGACGTACGTGCGTACATGAGTACATACGTACGTACTTGTGTACATGCGTACAGACGTACATACGTGCATGCGTACATACGTACAGACGTACACACGTACATGTGTACAGACGTACAGACACGTCCAACGCAGCCTTTGTGAGTCTCGTGCCGAGTGTGTTGCTGGCTCGCCACTGCGGCAGCGCCACTCGTCACATTCTCGCTCGGGGCTTCTGCCGCAGCGGCGGCGAAAGTTTCGGTCGAACGAGTTCTAGAAATGCCGCGTGCATTTCTTGAACTCGTTCGACAACAACGCTAACAGTTACTGAGCAATAACCACCTCGAAAGCCCGATACATCAAGCGGCCAGCGACAAACAGCACCAACAAATGTGGTGGCAGACGATGAGAGAGTACGTTGATTGGATGTTATGAAGTCGAGGTGATTACAGCCGGGCGATGTAAGGGCATTGCAGAATGTGGGCAGTGTGGTGAGTGGGTGGGTGAGTGGGTGGTTGAATAAATGAGTGGGTGGGTGAGTTGGTGGGTGGGTGAGTTAGTGGGTGGTGGGTGGGTGAGTTAGTGGGTGGGTGGGTGAGCTGGTGGGTGAGTTGGTTGGTGGGTGGGTGATTTGGTGGGTGGGTGAGTTGGTGGGTGAGTGGGTGGGTGAGTGGGTGGGTGAGTTAGTGGGTGTGTGAGTTGGTTGGTGATTTGGTGGGTGGGTTGGTGAGTTGGTGGGTGGGTGGGTGGGTGAGTTGGTGGGTGGGTGAGTGGGTGGGTGAGTTGGTGGGTGGGTGAGTGGGTGAGTGGGTGGGTGAGTGGGTGGGTGAGTGGGTGAGTGAGTGGGTGGGTGGATTGGTGGGTGGGTGAGTTGGTGGGTGAGTGGATGGGTGAGTGGGTGGGTGAGTGGGTGAGCTGGTGGGTGGGTGAGTCAGTGGGTGGTTGAATAAATAAGTGAGTGGGTGAGTGAGTGTGTTGACTTGCCATGCAGTATCGTGGTTTGTGCGTGAGACGTGAGTGGGCTGGGAGGGGAGAGGAGTTGAGTGACATCAGATGAGAGAGGCAGGCGAGTGCGTAGTGCCAACATTGTGCCAACGTTGGCGTGTGGTTGGAAACGTTCGCCCAACGTTCACCCAACGTTTCTTGGGAGTGGCCGTGTCCTCGTCTCCGCCACATGGGCAGGTGCTGACACGCGGAATGCCTCTCACACACTCACAAGCCCGGGCAGCTCTCTCTGTGTGTGTCTGTGTGTGTCTGTGTGCAGCTCTCTCTGTGTGTGTCTGTGTGTGTCTGTGTGCAGCTCTCTCTGTGTGTGTCTGTGTGTGTCTGTGTGCAGCTCTCTCTGTGTGTGTCTGTGTGTGTCTGTGTGCAGCTCTCTCTGTGTGTGTCTGTGTGTGTCTGTGTGCAGCTCTCTCTGTGTGTGTCTGTGTGTGTCTGTGTGCAGCTCTCTCTGTGTGTGTCTGTGTGTGTCTGTGTGCAGCTCTCTCTGTGTGTGTCTGTGTGTGTCTGTGTGCAGCTCTCTCTGTGTGTGTCTGTGTGTGTCTGCGCGCGGGGCTTGCGGAGCGACACAAGCGACGCAACGCGCCCTGCCGGCTGACACGCATGCACAGACAAAGGTCCCCCGGGTAGCGTTCACAGACTGGTGGGGGGCAAGTGCTCGTTACTTGTGGTCAGGTCCCGTCTGAAGAGTTCGCTCGTTTGCCCTACTGGGCATCTGACTCTCTGTTGTATTACATTCCATTTCTGAGTATACTAGATTTGTGTTTCTATTTCATTTAAACCTCATGATGATTGCTTGTGTTGCAATCGAAACGTCGTATGCTAGTATTTAATTCATTAATTTATCTTTATACGTGACTTTACCGAAAGAACCAAAGAGTAATTCCTGCAGTCACGAAAGCTCCAAATTAAGAAAGAGCTTTAGAGATCATCGGATTCCTCCTCCTCCTGCTCCTGCTGCTGCTGCGGTGTAAATACAGATCCCGATTCCGATTACCGACTCGTCATCCATCCGATCATCCGTCCGTCCACTCCGGCGGTCGATACAATGGGGATCACTTTGTGGATACGTTCGAACGACGCCACCATCACCACCGACGAAACGACGAGGATGTTGAACTCCATCGCTTGACCGGCGATGGTGAAGTATGGTCAAAAAGGTGTCCACAAGGAGGGGGGTGAAGAGAGGGGGGGGGGGGCTACCTTGTGGCAGTGGTGCACGGCGGAGACGATCTGGCGGAAGAGTCTGCGAGCTTCCGTCTCGCGCAGCGGGCGGTGGGCGTTGAGGTAGTCGAAGAGCTCCCCGTGGCTCGCCAGCTCCATCACGATCACCATCTTGTCCTTGTTCTCGAACACTGGGGGGAGGGGGGCAGAGGGGGGGGGGGGGGCAGAGGGGCGGTGAAGATGAGTGGGGAGAGGTAGGAGAGTGCGTGGAGGGGAGTGGAGTGAGATGAGAGGAGGTAGGAGAGTGCGTGGAGGGGAGTGGAGTGAGATGAGAGGGGAGAGGCAGGAGAGTGCGTGGAGGGGAGTAGAGTTAGATGAGAGGGGAGAGGTAGGAGAGTGCGTGGAGGGGAGTAGAGTGAGTTGAGAGGGGAGAGGCAGGAGAGTGCTTGGAGGGGAGTAGAGTGAGATGAGAGGGGAGAGGTAGGATAGAGCGTGGAGGGGAGTAGAGTGAGATGAGAGGGGAGAGGCAGGAGAGTGCGTGGAGGGGAGTAGAGCGAGATGAGAGGGGAGAGGCAGGAGAGTGCGTGGAGGGGAGTAGAGCGAGATGAGAGGGGAGAGGCAGGAGAATTCGTGGAGTGGAGTGAGATGAGAGGGGAGAGGCAGGAGCATTCGTGGAGGGGAGTGGAGTGAGATGAGAGGGGAGAGGTAGGAGAGTGCGTGGAGGGGAGTAAAGTGAGTTGAGAGGGGAGAGGCAGGAGAGTGCGTGGAGGGGAGTGGAGTGAGATGAGAGTAAGCACACACACACACAACACGTACATACACACAGTAAGGTACACACACAACACGTACATACACACAGTAAGCGCACACACACACAACACGTACATACACACAGTACACACACACACACAACACGGACATACACACAGTAAGGACACACACACAACACGTACATACACACAGTAAGCACACACACACAACACACAGAGCTCATAGCAGTGAGATGGTTTTGGAATGTCTTAATCCAGCAGTGGATTGGCCATGGCTGACGATGATTTTGAAAACCGGGACTTCTGGTGGCATTCGCTTCTGGGGGTCACAAACGCTGCCGCTGACACTCAAGGAAGTGGAATCCGGTAAATTCCTCCTGCCACGTGGCTGCCACGTGGCCTCAGAGCGCTTGGAGGGGGGGCCGTGACCTCGCCTGGAACGCGGAAGCCCGGCAAGGCGTCGAGTCCGGATAGGGGGACCGTCCATAAATGACGTCACGCGATTTTGGAGGATTTTTGACCCCCCCTCCCCTCGTCACACGGCGTCACAAAAAGTCAGAACCCCCCCCTCTCAAATATGACGTCACAAAGCTCTGCCCCCCCCCCCCAAACCATATTTCCATTTTGAAAATAAAACGTGCTTCAAATCGCTTTAAACTATTGTCATTGTAGTGCGTATTTAATGTGGCGCTGCACTCTGATGTTGTAGGAGAAAACATTTATTAAAAAGTCTATTTAACTAAGTAGAACGTGTTGTCTATATTTATCTAAAGTTGCGCTATTTTGATGTGACGTCACATTTCTTCCCCCCCCGCTCGTCACACATCGTCACAAATGGCTGACCCCCACCCCCCAGGTGCGTGACGTCATTTATGGACTGCTCCATAGCCATCTGCATTGGCGACCGCCGTGCATAACAGCTGCTATAGGCTGCAGAGGGCGATGCAGACAACCCCTAATTGCTGCGTCGCAACGCATCGTCGCGTCGCGAGGAACTCCGACCGGCCACGGCTAACATCGGCGAGCCGACCGGGGTGGTGAAATATGGTCATTCAGCACCACCCTCCCACGATCTGGGGTAGGGGAGGATGGAGAGGGAGGGGCTCACCCAGCAGGCGCTGATTCCTTTTTTTTTAAAGGTAAATGTTTTATTGCACAGAGGTTACAGTCCTCATGAACCTCAAGCATGACCAAGCTACTTGTAACTTCCCATCGTCCCCACAAAAGACAAGACCACTTAACAATCAATGCTGTTTGTACCAATTTATCCTCAGCACCAAATCGTACTCTTTTGGCTAAATCAAGAAGAACACTTACATTTACTTTCTAAAGTGTCATCTAAAGTTGTAAATTACTTATGACAATGGCATATTTGTCCACCTTGTGGCACGCAGGGACATCTGCCGCTGGGGGTGCCCACGTCGAGTGGCAGGTAGCAATCGTTGTGCCCCGCACCCCCAGCGCCTGGCTCGCTGGGCCAGGCGCTGGAGGGTGCCTCATCAAGACCGCGGCCTTCACAGCAGCAGCAACAACAAACCGTGTGCAGCGTACGCACACGTGGAGTCGCCACGCTCAGCGCGGCTCAAATCGTTCGCTACAACAGCGGAAGTTGGCAGACATTTGACCGAGCGACTCTCACTGCCGTGGCAAGTCTGGCACGAGTCGTCTCCGACCTAACTCAGGCCACGTTCAACAATCGTCTGGGCCCCGGACTGTGTGTGTCGTAAGGCCCTCCACCACCCTTCACCAGCCGGGTGGCGGTGGCTACGCCGCTGCACGTGGCCGCCTGGAGCGACCCAGCGCCGTGGAGGCGGCGGCTAGGGTTGGTGGATCACGCAAAGACGGCGTTGTGAAACTCGCTTCTTCTACCCGTGGGTGGGCGTCACGGTGTGGACTAATCTCCATCTGTTCCATCTTGACGGGGATAGAGTGTTGCCCCCTCGCGCAAGGCACGGGAGGTTTTCTCTGGGTGCTCCGGTTTCCTCCCCCACGTGAACGACAACAACGACGACGACGATAATAATGATATCCATACGACTCGTCATCAGTTGGGCTGAAAACATCTGACAGATAAACACCTCCAGTGTTGCGGCAGGACGCTGCTGGATAAATCAGTAAATAATTGAATGATATTTATATAAAAAAAAGAGGCTTTACCCTTTCTGGCATAAATACAGGAGATGTGTTCCGGTGTTCAAGCACCACATATCACACACCCATTGCAAGGCATCACTCAGCCTGCATTCAGCTTGTGGTCAGAGATGCCAACAAACAGGATCCGGTAATGCACACAAACACACCCGTCCTTGAAACTGGTTGACCTCCATCAGCCACAGCCTCCTGGATGTGTTTGTGTCTCGCCAGAGCTCTAGGAGGGGCGGCTCTTCACCTGGGCGTGCACGCTGCACCACATGGGGGGTGCGAGACATGGGCCAGAGTTTTTTTTAATCCTTTATATTAAGTTCACTTGCTTGCTTGCGCGCTTACGACCGTGTAAATCTTTCAGTCGTTTTTTAACCCACTTCCCGTGATCCAATCGAGCTGACATTTTGCACACAGACTCGTTGTGCGTGACAAATGTATTTTCGTGAAAATTTTTTTCCAAAATTTTACACTTTTTAGGGAAATTTTTTATATTTAATTACCAATTGCTTAATTGTGGCAGGCAATCATCTGACCCATAGGTGGCAGCCATCTCAAGCCAGAGGACGAGAGGACTCTAGCCGCCACGCATATAAAGGATTTATAGTGAAAAACTTTGTTTTTACGGGTTAATTTTTCTAGAATATAAAATCGTCGAAACACAAATTCAGCACGGACTGCATGAGCACAACTACTTTGTTTCACCAAACCCTGTGTTTATTAACATACATTTAAAAAAATACGATTGACAAACAAAAGTGGTGCAAGGCTTCAGTAAAGTTTAAGAGCCACGGCTGTAGACCAAACCGGTGAACGGCACAAGGACCATGCACTCAACCAAAGCGTCAAGAGCTCGGACCACGCTGCTACATCTTGGGGGCCGTTTCGCCAGGATCAACATAGTTAACGATTCCCCCTATCGTTCAATATCCAGGGATAAGTAAGTCAATATTGTTACCCCGACATCGTGGCAAAATGATCAGAATCTTTAGTTATCGTGGAGGAGTCCGATGACAGATCGTTGCCACGTGGCATGGCCCTGACGTATTTCCTGTACTGTACGTTGAACTTCTTTTGCGCCGTACGTAGCCAAACCGTGCTTATCAGAGGTTGAGGCGGTGGAAGGACAACAAACTGAAGACAATCCAGCAACCCGAACCACCCCAAAGAAATCAACCGTGCATATCACAAAAAAACATATCTGTGGCGGCGGGGGTGGGCGTTGTTTGCAAAGACCGAAACTAAAATGTGGAATTGAGGCCTAGGGTTGGGCTGACTTATCTCACCAAACCGAATTCCGTTTCGCCATAAAAAAAAAAACACCAACTCCCTGGTCCGGCCCGCAGATCCAGTTCCATTTGTTTGTCTCGGCTCCACGTGGACGCGTCGTGTTACCGCCTATTGTTTACCCTGCCAGCAAAGCCTCGCCCGAGTCTTGGGACTCGTTTTCTTTTTTAAAGAGGGTCCTGCCAAGTTGAGTGCGATGCTGTGCGTGCGTGTGTGTGTATATATGCTGTGGGGAGCGGTCGTGTAGTGGTTAGCGCGACGCTTCGCTACGAACCCGGCGACCCGAGTTCATATCCCGCTCACGGCCAACACAAGTGACGATTGTCTGAGCCGATCGTGCGCCTCCCCTAGGTCGACTCAGCCTCAAATGAATACCTGGTGCAATGTGTAAACATCGCCACTGGGGAGACAAAGGTGGCCGGGCGTGATGCTGGCCACCTACCCCCTCGTGCGCCGTGCCGGTCTTCATAGGTGCTCGCTAACAACAGCACACACTCACACACTCACAAACACACACACACAAACACACACACGCATACACACACACACACTCTCACACACACACTCTCACACACACACTCTCACACACACACTCTCACACACACACTCTCACACACACACTCTCACACAACAACAACAACAACAACCGCCATTCGCCACTAAGTGGCGGTGACGTCACCACGATGCTTGTGCCAGGCCAAGTGCACCTTGAGGCCACGTGAAGTGTCGAAAGCCCGCTGGCAGGAGGTCACGGGGCAGACCCAGCAGGTGCCACTGGTCGACTGACCGAGATGACCGAGATGACTGGCTGATGCACCACCTGTGCCCCCTACTGTACCAACTTGCTGTGCTTTAGCCACCCGGCGCTCCGCTCGTTGTTGTGAGCGTCGCTCCTCCGCCCTCCGTTGTTGTTGGAGGGCGACTGCCTCCAACTGCCCAGTAGCGTCCTTCACGAGCCTCCTCCACTGAGGCCGATCTTGACACCGCTGGTACCAGTCATCGGCAAGTCCACTCAGCTCCACGTCCTCCTGTACCACATCACTCCATCTCTTCTCCAGCCCGTGCCGCGCCCGTCTAGCCCCCTCGATCCGGCCGAACAAAAGCTGTTTAGGCATGCGGTGGCTGGGCATGCGGGCTACATGACCCAGCCAACGCAGCCTTGCCTGCCGGAGGAGCTCACTGATGGGACTTTGCCCAGATCTTTCAAGGATTTGTGAGCTCCTCACACAATCACACACACACTCTCACACACACACACTCTCACACACACACTCTCACACACACACTCTCACACACACACTCTCACACACACACTCACACACACACTCTCACACACACACACTCTCACCCACACACTCTCACACACACACTCTCACACACACACTCTCACACACACACTCTCACACACACACTCTCACACACACACTCTCACACACACACACTCTCACACACACACACACACTCTCACACACACACTCTCACACACACACACTCACTCTCACACACACACACACTCTCACACACACACTCTCACACACACACACTCACACACACACACACTCACACACACACTCTCACACACACACTCTCACACACTCACACACTCTCACACACACACACTCTCACACACACACTCTCACACACACACTCTCACACACACACTCTCACACACACACTCTCACACACACACTCTCACACACACACACACACTCTCTCACACACAAACTCTCACACACACACTCTCACACACACACTCTCACACACACACACACTCTCACACACACACACACTCTCTCACACACACACACTCACACACACACTCTCTCACACACACTCACACACACACTCTCTCACACACTCTCTCACACACACTCTCACACACACACTCTCACACACACACACACTCTCACACACACACACACACCACACTCTCACACACACACACTCTCACACACACACACTCTCACACACACACTCTCACACACACACACTCTCACACACACACACACACACTCTCTCACACACACACACTCTCACACTCTCACACACACACACTCTCACACAAACACACACACACACTCTCACACACACACACACTCTCACACACACACACTCTCACACACACACTCTCACACACTCACACACTCTCACACACACACTCTCACACACACACTCTCACACACACACACTCTCACACACACACACACTCTCACACACACACACTCTCACACACACACACTCTCACACACACACACTCTGTGGAACACACCGAAAGGCGCCCGAGTCGGGGCTCGAACCCAGCCCCTCGTGCCGTGATGCACAAACATTCCCCGCCGCCCACGTGACCTCCATCTCCTCGTGCCCTCGTTATGAAAGAGGCCGCTTTCATTTGTGGTTTTCATTTCTGTATTTTAGTTTTTACTGTCCCTCCTTTTATTATTGTGAGTTCTCTGTTTAGCCTTTGCAGCTGATTGTGATCGTACTTTTTCTTTAAAAGTAGTTTTTCTCTGGCTGGCTTCCTGCCTGGATTCCTGCCTGCCTGCCTGTCTGGCTGACGCGCAGGTGCGTGGGAGCGACGTCACGGCGCACATCTGCGCGATTGTCTGAGCCGATCGTGGGCCTCCCCTAGGTCGACTCAGCCTCAAATGAGCACCCGGTGCGGTGTGTAAAAATCACCAATGGGGAGACAAAGGCGGCCGGGCGTGGTTGCTGGCCACCCACCCCCTCGTGTGCCGTTCCGGCCTTCATAGGTGCTGCTCGCTAACAGCACTTGCCCCAACAGTCTGCTAAGCCTATACGGGGGATCTTTGTCTTTGTTTTTGTCCGCCTGGTGCCGCGCAGGGACAGCTGCCACGGGGGGGGGGGGTGCCCTGTCGGTCTGTGTTGCTATGCGATGCGAGCCCCGGATGTAGGTGAGGCTCGATCAAAAACAAACCATCACCATCATCATCTACTGCTGCTACTGATGATCGTCATCATGGTGATCGTCGTCATGGTGATCGTCGTCATGGTGATCGTCATCATGGTGATCGTCATCATGGTGATCGTCGTCATGGTGATCGTCGTCGTGTCGGACCGACCTTCGAAGATGCTGACGATGTGTGGGTGGTGGAGGGACGACATGATCTCGATCTCGCGACGGATCTGACCCATGTCCTTCTCGTTCTTGATCCTCTCTTTGCTGATGAACTTGATGGCAACCTGCAACGATCCACAGCACCGCTCAGCACGTGGTAGGCCTGCGCCCAGCGACGCTCCGGTGTTATTGTGTGTCGTCAGGGAGAGCCCTCCACCACCCGACTGGAGCCAAAACAAGCGTCTGACGGCGCACGCTGATTGTTGTCAGTGTCGCTTCAGCTCGACTTACCCACCCACTCACTAACTCACCCACCCACTCACCCACCCAATCACCAACTCACCCACCCACTCACTCATTCACCCACTCACTCACCAACTCACTCATCCACTCACTCACCAACTCACCCACTCACTTACCCACTCACCAACTCACCCACTCACTTACCCACTCACCAACCCACCCACTCACCAACTCACCCACTCACCAACTCACCCACCCACTCAACAATTCACTCACCCACCCACCAACTCACTCACCCAGCCACCCACTAACCCACTCACTCATTCACCCACTCACTCACCCACCCACTCATCCACTCACTCACCCACTCACCAACTCACCCACCCACTCACCAACTCACTCACCCATCCATCAACTCACTCACCCAGCCACCCACTAACCCACTCACTCATTCGCCCACTCACTCACCCACTCACTCACCAACTCACTCACCCACTCACTTACCCACTCACCAACTAACCCACCCACTCACTAACTCACTCACCCATCCACTCAACAACTCACCCACCCACTCATTCGCCCACTCACTCACCCACTCACCCACTCAACAACTCACCCACCCACTCATTCGCCCACTCACTCACTCACCCAGCCACCCACCCACCAAACTCACTCGCTGACCGCGCGTGAGTTGGAGAGCGACTCTCACAGCCACACTCAGCGATCACACACATTGATTAGTACGGTTATTACGGCCGGTACAAATGTGACAGCAAATGTTCGACTGTATCTTCCACAGAAATCGGATTATTTACTCTTAGAAGCTGTGAAGGAATAGAGCGAGAGAGAGAGACGGGGGTTGTTGTGGATGTGATCGCATCTCCAGACGCTGCACGGACAGCGAGCACGTGGTTTGTAAACACGTGGTTTGTAAACACGTGGTTTGTAAACACGTGGTTTGTAAACAGAGATACCGTCCACCTCATAGGCTTCTACTTTAGCCATGGGTCTCTGTGTGAGTCTAAGGGTCTCTGTGTGAGTCTAAGGGTCTCTGTGTGAGTCTAAGGGTATCTGTGTGAGTCTAAGGGTTTCTGTGTCAGTCTGTGTGTCTCTGTGTAAATTGCAAACAGAGAGGCAGAGACGATTGACTGTCTGTGTTGTCGTTCTGACTACCTGGATATTGTTCCAATTACGTTTGACGCAGTCTCAAGCTGACTGTGAGGGTTGCTCTCTAACTCACCCGCAGTGAGCGAGTGGGTGAGTGGGTGGGAGAGTGAGTGGGTGAGTGAGTGGGCGAGTGGGTGAGTGGGTGGGAGAGTGAGTGGGTGAGTGAGTGGGTGAGTGAGTGGGCGAGTGGGTGAGTGAATTGGTGAGTGAGTGGGCGAATGAGTGGGTGGGCGAGAGCGAGTGGGTGGGTGAGTGGGTGGGTGAGTGATTGGGCGAGTGAGTGGGTGGGTGAGTGAGTGGGTGGGTAAGTGGGTGAGTGAGTGGGCGAGTGGGTGAGTGAATGGGTGAGTGAGTGGGCGAGTGGGTGAGTGAATGGGTGAGTGAGTGGGCGAATGAGTGGGTGGGCGAGCGAGTGGGTGAGTGAGTGAGTGGGTGAGTGATTGGGCGAGTGAGTGGGTGGGTGGGTGGGTGAGTGGGTGAGTAAGTGGGCGAGTGACTGAGTGGGTGAGTGAGTTGGCGGGTGAGTGAGTGAGCAGGTGAGTGAAACGAATGTGTGGTGAATTGATGAGTGAATGGGTGTGTGGGTGGGCGAGTGAGTGGGTGAGTGAGTGAGTGGTTGCGTGAGTGGGCGAGTCAATGAGTGGTGGAGAGTGGTAGTGTAGCAGCAGTTAGTGCACTGCGCTACGAACCAGGCAACCCGAATTCGATTCCCGCTCACAGCAAACACCAGTGGTGATTATCTGAACCAGTCATGGGCCTCCACTGGGTCGACTCAGCCTCAAAAGGACAATGTATAAACATTGCTTCTAGGGAGACAAAGGTGGTCGGGTGTGGTGCTGGTCACCAACCCCCTCTTGTGCCATGCCGGCCTTAAAACAGCACTTGCCTCAAACATCTATTAAGGCTAAACGGGGGATCTTTGTGTCTGTGTGTGTAGAGCGGTGACGCAATAGTTAACGCACTCATGTTCCATTCCCACTCATCACCAATAACTGGGCCTCCCCTAGGTCGACTGGGCCTTAAATAAGTACCGTAATGTATCTGGTGCGGTGTTTAAACATCGGCACTGCGTAGAAGATCCAATATGAATGATCCAATGTGAATGCTCTAATGTCAATGATGCAATGTCAATGATGCACTGATAATGATTCAATACGATTGATCCAGTAACAATAATCCAATATCAGCGATACAACGTGAATGATACAATGTGAAGAATCTATTTTCAATGATCCAATGCGAATCATGCGACATCAATGATCCAATTTGGATGACCCAACATGATGCGAGTCAATCAAAACTAGCAATTCAAAGTGTCCCGTAAATGGGGGATCAATGGCTCAACATCCGTCGTTGTATCCTTATCAAGTGTACGGATTGCGAAAGCTCTGCAGCATTCATTACACACGTCAAAAAAAAAATACATTTTTTTCTGGCCTGGACTTTTGCAGCTGTTTTAGACTAATTTCAGGGTGCTGATTCCAATTAGGTATAACCCTGTGAGCCATTCGGCTCTTGACTCGGGTGCAACCGCAACAAACAAAAACATGAACGAGAAACATCTTAAAGTGACGACACGCAACATAAAAATCCAAGAAAAAACAGCAAAGTCTTCCAAATCTGATCTCAGATTTGCTCTATCACATCTCATTTTTATGCTATCGGCTTACCCCATTTTCATTGATTTTACCCGAAATTAACTCTGTCACTTATGATTGCAAGTTGTTGCGAGTCAGTGACTGCTTTAGTGTTAAAATATGGTGCTGTATTTTTAGGATAGTGTGTTTATAATATCATTTTATGTAGATATCCACATTTCAATTAATATTTTTATTCTGCATTTTTTATTGAAAATGCAATATTTGATATTTCAAAAACCTGATGTGATGGACAAAAACTGATGCCAGATTTGGAATCGGCACCCCAAAATTACCTTTGAACCGTTGGAATACCTTATGCCAGAAAAAGTGTGTTGACCAGTGCAATCAGTGAAACTGCCCGGCTGAACGGGGCCTTGTTCGGCCGGGCTATTTCAATCCCGGTTCTAATCTAGGAAACGTGTCGAGTTGCAAAATGCTTTTTTTTTGTACACAGCTCATGGTTTTTTATTTGTTAAACACAAACACTTCGCTTCATTCATAACGATGATGATTTTCTTTTTGGTCACGTGATGAGCAAACACGGCCCCGTTTGTGAGTGCTCCAGCAGAACCGCACCGGTGGTGTGTTCCTAGAGAGAACACCACCACCGCTGTGTTCCTAGAGAGAACACCACCACCGGTGTGTTCCTAGAGAGAACACCACCACCGCTGTGTTCCTAGAGAGAACACCACCGGTGTGTTCCTAGAGAGAACACCACCGCTACTGTGTTCCTAGAGAGAACACTCCCGGTGGTGTGTTCCTAGAGAGAACACCACCACCGCTGTGTTCCTAGAGAGAACACCACCAGTGTGTTCCTAGAGAGAACACCACCACCGCTGTGTTCCTAGAGAGAACACCACCGGTGTGTTCCTAGAGAGAACACCACCATCGGTGTATTCCTAGAGAGAACACCACCAGTGTGTTCCTAGAGAGAACACCACCGCTGTGTTCCTAGAGAGAACACCACCGGTGGTGTGTTCCTAGAGAGAACACCACCGCTGTGTTCCTAGAGAGAACACCACCGGTGGTGTGTTCCTAGAGAGAACACCACCAGTGTGTTCCTAGAGAGAACACCACCACTGCTGTGTTCCTAGAGAGAACACCACCACTGGTGTGTTCCTAGAGAGAACACCACCGGCGGTGTGTTCCTAGAGAGAACACCACCAGTGTGTTCCTAGAGAGAACACCACCACTGCTGTGTTCCTAGAGAGAACACCACCACTGGTGTGTTCCTAGAGAGAACACCACCGGTGGTGTGTTCCTTGAGAGAACACCACCACCGGTGTATTCCTAGAGAGAACACCACCACCGGTGGTGTGTTCCTAGAGAGAACACCACCACCGGTGGTGTGTTCCTAGAGAGAACACCGCGGGTGGTGTGTTCCTAGAGAGAACACCACCAGTGTGTTCCTAGAGAGAACACCACCACCGGTGTATTCCTAGAGAGAACACCACCAGTGTGTTCCTAGAGAGAACACCACGGGTGGTGTGTTCCTAGAGAGAACACCACCACCGGTGTGTTCCTAGAGAGAACACTACCAGTGTGTTCCTAGAGAGAACACCACGGGTGGTGTGTTCCTAGAGGGAACACCACCGCTGTGTTCCTAGAGAGAACACCACCACTGGTGTGTTCCTATAGGGCAGCACACCGTACACGATTAACCAATCGGGTCTGAACTTGGGCCTGAAATCGGTGTCATCGATGTGGCGATTGCCTGATGATGCTGCTGCCGGCTGCGACTACCAGAGAAACGTCTGGATCTGTCGTTACACGGGTTCACATCCCTACAGGACACAGTAGTGGTGGAAATTCCACGTTTCTACAGCGGGGGCGAGTACGGATATTCACGGGACAACCGCGGTTGTTCAAATTATCCACAAAGCGATGCCCACTTTATCGACCCCCCCCTCCCCCCCCGGAGGGAAGGGATGGATGACGGGCTGAGTCAACCATGCCACCACCACAACCACAAAACGATGATGATGGTTGTTGAGTCGACCTAGGGGAAGAGGCCCAGGGCCGCTTCAGACACAATCGTCACCGGTGGTGTTGGCCGTGAGCGGGACCCGAACTCG